GACCTAATTCTAATACTGTTTTAATGTCTGTTCTGTTTTCCGGAATAAACTTCCTAACTTGTAGTTTTGTTTCAGTGCCTCTTATTTTTCCACGTTTCTCCTAAAATTGTAACCTGGGGGGTGGGGTGGGGTTATTGACTATAGTATAGGAATACATCTTAAGACTTGATAGGTACATGGTTGTCCCACCGCTCACAGTCTATGTGCTTAAGTGAAACTTAATACACTAATTGTATTCACGAACAATTCCAACCGTGACTTTTCCAATAGTAGTATCCCGTTTGTGCACCCAGAGTTCCCATACAACCCCGCACGCACACCACGTCTAGGTAGCCACACATATAACCCCACATAAGTGATGTCGGCACCTAGTGTGAATGCGGAGTTTCTCTCTTCTCAACTTTGGGCTCTACTACCCAGGCACAAAGGCAAGTGACCCAACTCAACCCCGTCGGTTGGTGAGTCTATGTTGGGGGCAGAAATAACTGGAGCACGTCCCCCCCCCACAATACCACCTCAGGAACATGATATGGTTCCATAATTCTTTGACTTAAGTTACTCTGAAAGAAGGAAGCGGTATAAGAGGGACTGTAAAGTTTGATAGATTTCTTGTGGTGATAGTTTACAGTTTCTAAGCCAACATCTAAAGGCGTGGGTTTTATTTTTGCATCACTGTTATTGTACTCTAGTGTACTTCGCCATAAATCAGAATTATTTCCGCCACAACACAGGGCATAATACCGGGCAAGAAAATACAAATTTAAGGTAATCATTAAAGTGTTGCTACCAAATACTTCCTAGAAGCGAAAATGAATGCTTGCCATAAAAACGTTAAGGGGGCAAAAAAAAAAAAAAGTTGGTAAAAATACAGTGGGCGCAAGAGGCTCTTTCCGAGCATAACTCACGGTTAAATAATTAGAAAGGAAAAAGGGAACAGGTAAAATATTATGTGCAAGTTTGGGATGGGCTTGGTGTGAGTTATTAGACACGTGCATATTTTTTAAAAATAACAAAAACAAATGCCTTGAGGGTTTTTTTTTAAAGGGGAATGCGCGGCTCTTGGTTATGTGTGTGTGCATTTCCCCCCCAACTTCCCCCCTTCCCAGCCGCCTGCCCGCCCGTCTCCCACCCTAGTGAAGCGAAGGGGAACTGGATGGAGAGGACTTCTTATCTTGGGTCCACTGAACTGTCTGCCTTTGGCATTCAGAAAGGGCAATCAGACACCAGAGACAATAGGGGACCGTCTGCAGCTTGCTTCATATAACCCAGACATTGAAAGAAAGAATGGGAAGTAACCTTCCAATTTCCTCCCCCCTCCCCTGGCTGTTTTCTGTGGACTTTTGCTTCAGTAGAAGTCACTTTTTACTTCCCTTCAGTCCAAACGTTACTTCGGGTAAACCCATTCCGGACCGTCCCAACACAAGAGAATAAAGGCAGCGAGCAACTCCGGTCCCTAGGTGAACCCACACAAATATCCCAAGGGTGTAAACTTCTCCCCCTTTTCCAGTTTCTTTTTAAAAGAGGTGGGTTATATGTTGGATGTGCACATTGGGTTTCTCCAAGAGCTCAAGCCCTGTACAAGCTGCTGTGGTCTATTTATGCCCCGCACAGGCGTTCTCCTTCCCAAGTTTAATAGCATTTGTTGGTATTTATTCTCTGCAATTAGACGAAAGCATTTTTCCCAACGGGGGTCCTACTTAGGCTGATGAATTTTATTTCTCTCCCCATTAATGACCCATGTTTATCATACTTCTAATTATTTTTAACTTTAAACAATATTCGCTCTCTTGGAGACTGTTCCCCGGCGCTCCTGCCTCAACAAGGCCTGCCAAACTAGAGAAGGATCTGGAATGAACTACAGAAACGCATTTAGTTAAAAGTGGGTCCTTTCCTCCAGATCCTCCATCTTTTTTTGGGGGGGGGAGACTTTGAACGTCAGTCCGCTAGAGATTCTGCACGTTTGTATAAATAAATCGTTTCGGATACACCCCATGCTCTTTGGAAACATCTAAAGCATCCCAAGAGGAAACTAATACCAGTAAACACGATTCGTGCTTCATTATTATTATTATTATTTTAAATCTGCACCAGCTTTACACATTTTCGCAGCCCTCTTTGTGTTGTCTTCAGGGATATGGGTACAACGTCGAACGCGCTGCAAATTTCTTGGCCGTCTGTGGCTCTGTGAAGAGGATAAAAATCAAATTATTTGACAGGTTTCACCACACTGCGGTTTATACAGTTCTCTTCCTGCTACCTAAGGGGGAGGGAGAATATAACACAGGCAAGACTGCATGGCAGTAAATAAGGATATAAAAGGCATTTTTCCCCTCTCCCACTCAGAGAATCCAGCAAAAGAGGTCCAGTTTTGGGTCTCCCCAAAGACCATGTGAGGAAACGCATAGGGGATTCACAGCCTAAACTTATGGAGTTAGCCACATGATCTGCAAAAAAATAAAGAGGGAAAGGGGGTGGGGAGAGAGAGAGCGAGAGCGAGAGAGTACGGGGAAAGCCATATAATGCCAAACTGCATTTGGTCTTTAATTTCATCACCTATAAATGAGGAAGTATTGGTTCCCATGCTAAAGTTTTATTCTTTGCTTATAAATATTATGTGGAATTTTCGTTGGATATCATAAAACTGAACGATTTCTATCAAACTGTTTTAAAAAGACCTATGCAGATAACACAAATAGAGGCTGTAAAAGTCGCAAATAGCTTTCCAAGGGGGAAGCAAACGGGGCGTTGGAAGTGCAGGAGAAGCTCTTAGCCGGCTTGTCTTAGCCGGCTGGATTGGAGGGATGGGGGGGGGGTCGGGGGGTCGGAGACAAATAGAATGATGTCGTTTAAGACTTCCTTGGCCTGAGATATTAAAACTTTTCACCCTTGAAGACTGGGGGGGGGAGTTAAGTGTGGGCCCCAGCCTGCATAGCTTCCCCAAGCAATTGCCGAATGGCATTGCAAGCCACTTTTGTGGAAAACATTTTTCCCCCTTTCCCTTTTTTCTTTTTAGTAGAAGATCTGGCGGCTTTAGGCAGGGCACACTGCCCTTTCAGTTCATTATATATCACTGGAATTGGTCAAGTTCCGCACTTCCCCAACCCAATCCTCTTTCTGGCGTAATTTTCTCCACTAGTTTTCTCCCCCCCCCCCTTTTTTTTTTTGAAAAGCCTTCCCTCCCACCCCTTGAAAATGACTATGAACCCTTTAAGGTTTGTAATCCTTCGTAATGATCTTGAGATTCCAGTTCCCTTTGGCCAATTCTGTCCTCGCTTTGCTCGTTACTAGCGTGAGTGTTCACATTGGTTATTTAGTCCTCGTCTCTTTTGCATGGCCTTGGCTGGGAAGTGTCTAATACTTGTCCGGGGGTTGGGGGGGACACACCGTCGACAGCGCTGTCAAAGCGAGATTACATCACGTTAGTCAATTTCATATACACCGAAGAACAATTTGACTTAATTGCAACGCGGTTTAGAAAACGTCTAATAAAGGGAAACGGCTACGAGGGAAGCACCTAGTTTAACATACCTTTATATTCGAAATGCCCAGTTATCATTCTGAGCTCCTTAGCTTTAAAGAGAGAGCGAGAAAGCGAACCAGAGAGAGTTCTAAACTCGTAAAAAGGTAAGCGGGTCAAACAAAGAGGAGAGGATTTAACTGAGAAGAAATAAACATATCTGTTTTGGCAGAGAATTCCTTCAAGGGGGGGGGAACCCCAATCAAATAAATCCCTGCCTGCTCGGACAGCTTCCAGAAAAAGCTTTCCTTAAAACACTTGATCAAACCACCGTTTTGACATTTTATTTTATCTGGTATAACAATCTGTCGGATACTTTTTTTTAAAAAAATCCAGATTTGTACCGATAGTTCCCAAAATTCCATAATGGCTCACAGCCCTATATTTATTATGATACAGTTCTGTAAAGTTACGAGACAACCTGTACAGAGTTCGAGAGTGCCGAGTGATTTTAAAGGCGTGGGCTTTAAAAAAAAAATTAAAATCCGTTTCATTCAGGGGCGTGGAAGTTCCTTTTTCGACGTGCAGGTAGGAGGGAATACAGACACGAAACTTTAAAAAATAGAAAGCAAAGAATGACCTCTGGTAATCCAATTCAATCCGAACTAGCTCCCATTTCAATTCCTAAACTCTTTTTTCGCGTAGGCAATCCCTGAAATGAATAAACTAACCTCCTGACTGTACCCTATATTTATCTGATTCAGACAGCTTAAAAAAAATAAAAATCAAAAGAATCCTAAAGACCTTCTTGCTTCTACATTCAGGGAATTATTCTCAATCACCTACTTTGAAAACACCAATTAAAACAAAAATCCACCCCGAATCTGCCCAAAAAGTATTCCTGATGGACCACAAATATTTCTGAAGGTGCCGGCATTTCAGGTTTGGGGGGGGGGGGAGGCGAAAGATAACGAAACAAAGAAGAGGGTTTTGTGGTAAGTGGAAATAATGAAAAAAGTTCCTTTAGGGTTTGGGACGGATTAATCACTTCCTCAAGCAATTGGACTTATTTCAAAAGGAGGGATATGGAATAAAGAAGGGAAACGGGGGAAAGAAATAAAAGGGGGGAGGAAGGTTGATTATTTGCTGACCTTTTAATTTGAATTTGACTTTGCCTCTATTTACGCGTTGGCTTCCTTTTATTTTCCCCCCACTCTGCTGTAGACACGCGTTCGTTCATTGGTAAACAAACTGGAGGGAAAGGGGCTCCTCTCTCTCTCCCGCTCTCTCTCTCTCTCTCTCCTTTGTTCAACGTGAAGGTCCTGGGTTCCCTACCCTTCACAAACTGATAGATGTCGCTGTTGCTCCACGCTGGTTTTCTCCTCTCCCAACAACTTGACCCCGGTGACGTCACCGGCGTCTGAATCATCAAGGCCATTTTCAATCCTCATTGGCCTGGCCGTCACGTGGTTGGGACCAATGCGTGGATAATTATGGTGCTGATATTTTTCCCTAAAAAAAAGATGTCAGCCCCTAGCCGTAGTATTCCTCTTTAAAATCCCTCTCTGAAAATGTCATGTCCCAACAATGTGACTTCTAACTCGTTTTTGATGGACTCGTTAGCCGGTACCTGCAGAGGGGAGAATTATTCCTCTAACCAAGGAATGTACATGCAGTCTGGGAACGACTTCAACTGTGGGATGATGAGGAACTGTGGAATCATCCCGTCTCTTTCCAAAAGAGACGAGGTGAATAACGCCAGCCTGTCTCTCAGCACCTATCCATCTTACCTTTCTCAGCTAGACACCTGGTGTGACCCCAAAAATACTTACCGAATCGAACAACCTGTTGCGAGACAACTCCCCTCCTGCTCTTTCCCGACCAATGTCAAGGAAGAAAATGCCTGCTGCATGTACAACGCAGACAAAAGGGCTAAAAACGCCACCGAGGCGACCCTCTACCCCAGTCAGATGCCTGAATCTTGCCTCAGTGACCATGAAGTCCCCGTGCCCAGCTACTACCGCGCCAGCCAAGGTTATTCCTCCATGGAGAAGGCGTCCAACTGCAACAACCCGACCGAGTTTGAGGCAACTTTCGAACCCAGGGCGAGCCTCAGCCAGAGGAGTGAGCATCTGGAGCAACCGCAGCCGCCACCACCTCCGCCACCACCTCCACCGCCGCCACCATCTCAGCCACCACAGCCGCAGCCGCCGCCGCCGCAGCAGCCAACTCCACTTCCCCAACCCGGAGCTAAAGTCAGCTTCCCTGAAAACACAAAGCCGGAGAACCCTCAGAACACGCCGGCCAACGAAATCAAAACCGAAAAAAGTCTCCCCGTGGCCAAAATCAGTCCGTCGGAATCTGAGAAGGACCTGAGCAAATGCACAGACACCAGCACTGACAATTCGGACAACGAAGCGAAAGGTAAGGGCGCACTCTTCTCCATAGGTTGCGTTATCGAGCTTTCCCCAAGTCACCATCCGCCAGCCGGGTTGTTGTTCCTATTAGTATTATTATTATTATTATTATTATTATTATTATTATTATTATTAGTGATGATGATAATAATAATAATAATAATAATAATAATAATAATAATAATAATAATAATAATAATAATAATAATAATAATACTGCACGAAAGAATCTCATCTGCAGGGGAAGCACTCAAAATGTGTTCAGACACCAATGTCTAAACTCCATTTGCATTGTTTTCCTAGAGGTGGTTTGTGTTAGACTGTGCGTGCTTAAGAGCGAAGTTGCCAGCAACGTCGTTGGTTGATCTCTGCTAAGTTCAGGTTGTGGCCAGGTGGTCGCTCAAACGATCTGAACGCGAACGAATGGCGTTTCGGACGGGCAGAGTGTTTGGCAGGGTTGTTTGGGGTAGACAGGGGTCTTGTTGCTGTCGTTGTTGATGGTGTTTCTGGGTCCCCTAACCCCCTTTCTCCCCTCTTCTCCCTGGGTAGAAAATTGCTGTTGCTGTTTTTATCATCATCATCATCATCATTATTTTTAAACTTGCGGAGCCTGGATTGCTTAGTGGGGGAGGGCGAGAGAGAGAGGGCGATGAGAATGGGTTTGCTAAACACTTCAGGCTGGACTTGATTGTTGAGTTTCATTATCATGGCTGCATTCCCCTTTGATAACCGGCGGTTCCCGGCATCCAGAGTCTTGCTTGGGCTGGAAGCGCTCCCCCCCCACACACACACACACCCCACCACCCAATTTACGTGTCTGGACCATCAGTTTGAAGTTAGGGGATGCGAGAAAATGAGTCTTTTAGTGATGACGAGCGTTGCATCGAATGTTTGCTTGTGCCTTTCCAATCAACAGCCAATTTTTCCTCGCTAAGCTCTCTGTGCCTAATTAAATCCACTTGGGAAAAGAACGGTTCGAATAGATCCAGAGCCAAAAACAGGGGGGGGGGGGGGGGAAGGAGGCGCCTAAATGCGTTTCAGTGTGGCATGAAATGTCTCTAGACCCACAGACAACTAAGACCGAATTTCGATGAAAGCGAGGTCGTTGAAATACATTTGTTTTGGAGCGCGGGTTGAGATCCTCTCAGATGGTCACGGGCCATACTTTGGAAACAAGCAGAAGAGAGAGATGTACGCTTGGGAAATCTGTAGCTCTGTGTAGGCACGTGCATAGGATTCATACATACATACCTGTGGTACGTATGTACGTGTGTATGCCCTCATCCATACATATGCATAGATGCGCTGGCTGTCTGGGTACCACCAAGAGAACGCAGGCAATTCATCCGCTGTTTCTCACCTGATATGACATTGCACGGAAAATCACTTAAAGGTTATTCTTTGTATGTATTTATTTTCAAAAGTCAAAAAATGGATTTCCCATTCTTTGTTTTCGGCAAAGCTAAGAATCAAAGAGTCCCCGCCTGTTCTATTGCAAGGATGGGGGAAAATTGCAAAGTCAAGGTTATGAAAAATCTCTACCAAGGTATCTGCAAAAAAAGAGAGAGAGAGAGAGAAAGTGTTGTCTTTATGCCATATCAAGTCCTATTTTCTTCAGAGTCAAATTGGGGGGTTTTTTTTTGCATAAACATGATTTGCATTTGAATTTGGAATTGGAAGAAAACAGGGGAACAAAAAGGTTATTTTTCTCCCTTTAATGTGGATACACCAGTTCAAGCAAACGATGGATTTCGGTTATGTCCAGTTTAGATTTTCAAACTTTTCTTTTTAATCCCCCCCCCCCCCCGGAGATCTGTTTTGCCACCAATACGAGATTTCATATTCAAGGCCATGTTGGGTCTGTCTTTGGTTTTTATTCGCCCCCCTCTCCTTTTCTTTCCTTGCCTATGGTCTTTTAATTTCCGTTTCTCTTCTAATGTCCACAGTAAAATCTGGAAATAGAGTTTACAGTTTGGCATCGAAGAATTTGCAGGGTTCAATGGCATGTAACGGAGAATGTAGAGGGGGGAAATGGAAGCAAAGACGGGTTTTGTTTGTTTGTTTGTTTGCTGGAAAGCGTTCTTGGTCTGCTACCGTTTCCACCCGAGCATCTAGGAAACCGTTATGTGACTCTGACACAAATAGGCTTCTAGGATCGCGAAACATCTTCCCTCCCCAAACAAAGACACACACCTTCGCCAGATCAATGTTAGCCGCCTACCGCTGCCCAGAAAATCCTTGCACGCCCAAATTCAGATCCGAGGTGTTTATGTCTATGTACGCTTTGCCAGGGCTGCATATATGGAATTGTGGATGCCTGCCTGTATGTAGAACAGTTATTTGGAGGGAGGGAGATCCTCCGTTTGTCAAAAGGAAAAGCCAGGGGCTATCGGGTATGAGTAGCACTGTCGAAAGTTCTTCACTCAAAATGCCAATAGATACCTCGCAAAGGTTGGATAAAAAAGAGAGACTGGCTAATCCCAGGAAAATGCCATAGGCAGTCTAGCAAAATTCACACACACACACACTCTCTCTCTCTCTCACTCCAAAAAAGTAGTTTTGCTGATCTTGCTTTGATTGGACTCAGCTGATACTTTTACAGTAAAGTCTTGAGTAAGAATGAAGTGGTGGAGTAACAGCTCCGGCCAGGCTGGGTAATCTTAAAGGGCTGGTATGAAAATTTTGAAAAGCCTGCACAGAGAGCTTTCGCTCCAGGGATAATTCCCTAAAATTATATTCTGTTGACATATCTGACACGTGGGAAAACTCTACACCCGAGGAGAGTGCAAACAGCTTCAACGCCATTTGTGTCTCAGTAAGGATATCCCTTACTCTGAAATGAGTCTTTACCATGATCAGCTGAGATTTGGCGCTATGTCTCTGACGCCCAGGTGAATATGGTGATTATTTTTAATTTCCCCCCTTTTTTGTTAAGAGACATCCGACCCTCTTAGCTTTACGAGGTTAATGCAAACATTAAAATCTGGAAATAATAAAGAGGGAACTGTGGAGACGACCCCTCTATGGGTGCAGGACAGAGATTCTTGTATTAACAAAAGAGCCTGCTTTTTTGGGGGGGGGGAGGAAAAAATAAGACTTTACACTAGGAAGCTCTCTTTACTATTCCGAGGATACTTATATAATAATATTATTTTTAACAGAGGATATAAAGGCAGAAAACACTACAGGAAATTGGCTGACAGCAAAGAGCGGAAGAAAGAAAAGATGTCCTTATACTAAACACCAGACGTTGGAACTGGAGAAGGAATTCTTATTCAATATGTACTTGACCCGAGAGCGCCGCCTGGAGATTAGCAAGAGTATTAATCTAACAGACAGACAAGTCAAAATCTGGTTTCAGAACCGCAGGATGAAACTCAAGAAAATGAACAGAGAGAATCGAATTCGAGAACTGACTTCCAATTTTAATTTCACTTGAAAGTGTTCGCGGAAAGGATGGGGGGGGGCGGGAAATCATTACAAATCTTGTGCAGTATTTTTTTTTCCTTCCATTTTCCTGGGTATAAATGCAATGCGTGGTTGGGGGTGTAGGGGAGAGGAGACAACCAGGACCTCAGGCTAGCGTGCAGTTCTATGATTTGGGTATTTACAGTTTGTAGAGCGAAGGTGCATCCATCGATATAAAGCATGAAGAATATATATATATATATATTGCATCAATGTTTCTATGTAAAATAAAGACTTCAGGTGGTTGCTAAAACAAACGAGATGGGGGGGGGGAGCGCCCAGCTTTTAAGTTATTCACGAGCAGCACAAAGAAAAGGAAAAGGGAGATTTAAAAGAAAACAAAAAAGACTGAAGGACCCTATCTCTATGCCTTTTTTATGTTTAGGATCCTAGGTGCGTCTGAAAGTTTGCTTTTCATATCCTAGTGTAGTCTGCCTATTGTATAATAAAAAATGACTCCAAATGAATTTCATATGTGTCTGTAAATGAAAGTGGGAACATGCTCACATGGTGTAGTTATGCAGTCTCCTTCCAGTGAGGACCATTATATTTAAAAAAAAGGAAGAAAGAAAATAATAAAGCAGTATTGATATCTTCTGATGAGGGAGAGGTGGAACAAGTCCGATTTCTCTTTTTTAATTTTTTTCCCTGTGACTGTTATTTAAATATATTCTGTATGTGGTACCCTTTGCATGTATCTTCCTTTATGGAGCCAAATAAATTTCTTAGAACCGTGTACAACTGGGTATTTTTCGAAGTGTTCCCCACCACCACCACCACAAGAAGTATGCTTTCCCCCCTCCTCTTCTTTCTCTATGTAGAGTATCCCCCCCCCTTCTCCTCCTCCCCAGGACTCATCCTTTTTTAAGGCTTTCAGGAGAGTATCCTAGCGGGTTTAATATAAGTGAGAGACCATAACGTTGATTTAAATATTATCCAGGTGACCACAATAAGTCAAGGTCATAAAACAGTAATGTCAGGACAGTCTTGGTAAGCGCTGGAGGTGGATTTTATGATCTGCAAATATAATGTGCTGCAGCAGTAAAAGATGCATTTAAAGGTGACTGTGGAGGAGGGAAGCAAGTCAGAAGCTGAGTAGCATTCTTGGGATGCAGACTCCTCATGGCTTTGGCTCTTCTTCTTTTTTCAAGGAAAAAGGCACGCTTCCTTTTGCCTCCCCTGGAAGGATCACTCTATAAAAACGGGAATACACTTTTATTTAAAAAAAAAAAAAAGCACGGAAACTGGGATGTCACAGTGGAAGACGTGGAAAGGTAAGACAGACCCATTTCTTGGCTAAGATGCATGGCTGTGGTACAAGTGGGATTCTGTTTTGTCCTCTCTGCGTGTGTGTGTGTGTGTGCTTATGTGCGCGTGTAGCCAAGGCGAAGGCGGCATGGATGTGAACTCCACTTTGAAGCGACGCTTGCTGGTTTTACCCTGATGGGGCGTTCGGTTGGGTTTCGCCGGAATTGTCCCGCGGTTCGAGTTGGCTTCTTCCTGGGGTGACAGCTCCTTTTCGAGCGGATTATGCATGGTTGAGGAACAGTGGCGCACAGATTTCCATTCTGATTTCCACCACCACCCCACCACGACCACCACCACCAACAACAACAACCTACCCCACCCGTCTTTTCTTCCTCTCCCTCTTTTTAACTTACTTGTGATGAAGTTGGACTCTGGAGCGCTTAACACCCCAGGGGGTCTGAGATCTTGGATCGGTTTTGTTGGAGGACTTTGGACATGCCAAACATGTTGCAGATGGGTTTGCCCTTAACCTGCCCTTTTGGTTTCAGGAGTTTGGTTGGCAAAAGACGGTGGAAGACAGAAGGATTTCTTGGCATGTTTTTTGGGGGGGATGTTGTGGACACACGTTCCCCCCCCCCGGTGGTTTCCCCCGATTTTTTTTAAATTATTTTTTGTTGTTTGTTTAATTTGCCTTGGGACAGCCGGCAATCTCAGATACCTCTGCAATTGAAAACGGATAATGTCAGACCGGAGCCACTTTGCCAGTGAAGGATAGCGGAGCGCGCTATAATTCAAGGTTTTCCAAGCAGCTCGGTTTAAACGTTACAACCGCAGAGACACAGACAACTAGAGGCAGAGTTGACTGCAGATTCTATTAAAGGGGGAGGAGAAGGGGGAGAAGAGGAGGAGGAGGAGGAAGGGGGATCTTAATGAAGAGATTAAAGATGTTGCCGTAATTTGAAGAATCTTGGGGGAGATGATTTGGTTCTGGCATCCTTAGGTTTCGCACTTGGGTTAGCAAGTCAGCCCTTCCCATGCCCACAAAAGGCTCGCTTTTTCTCTTCTCTTCTCTCTTTCTCTCTTCTCCCTTCCTCCCTCCCTCGCTTTTTTTTTTGTCTTTCCTCCTCTTTTGACAGAAATGAGTGTGGATCTTCCGCCCTCTCACGCAGCTGGCCCGTGGTTTAGGTAGTTTCATGTTGTTGGGGTTGGCTTTTAACTCGGCAACAAGAAACTGCCTTAATTACGTCAGTTAGTCTTCATCAAGGGCAACCTTCCTTGGGTTTTTTTCCCCCCTTCCCCTCCCTCCCTCCCTCTCTCCCCCCTTTCGTTTCACGCTGGCAGCCAGACCAGAGCTGCGAGACGGGTCCCATCTCCCCTAACGCAAGGGGCAAGGCGGAAAAAAGAGCCATTGGTTTCATGCAGGCATTTAAATACACACATATGTATACATATATACACATATATACATATATACATATATATACATATATAAGAGAGAGAGAGAGAAGCCTCCGCCCCCCCTCCCCCTTCCACCCCATGTACACATAGTTACTTCTGGGCTTCGATGATTTCCACCCCCCAGCTGCTATTGTTTCAGGCCGACGGTGCTTCCCAGGCGGACAATTGGGGGGGGGGGGCCCCTCGAGAACTCGAGAATTCCTCATCAAATTATTGAGCTCGCTCATGTTCAGGCCGCAGTGCTCGCCCGATTGGCAACGGCGACTCGGTTTCCGGGATTCAGTACCGCCCTGTCTTCTTAAATGTGATGTCTGGCTCTCTCGCCTCCTCCGGTGCTCTAAAAAAACAAGGAATCTGGGCTTTTCTGAGAGCAGAATTTGCGCCAAGGGATGGCATCTTTGATGGCTGTTTGCTTGTATCGGGGGGCGCTCAATAAAGCGGCACGTTGAAGGTGATTGGAAGGCTAAAATTTGCAGCCTGGTGGCTTCTATGGCAATCTCCTGTTGCCCTGGCCAGTGCGCCGACTATTAAACCAGCTCTAAGTCAGAGCGTATTATGTTCCTTGAAGGTGGATTAAAGAACAAAAGCAGGACGTGGAAGCCAAGGCTCCGCTGTCTCTCCTTAAGAACCCCAAAGAGCTCCGTTTTAAAAAATTTAATAGCCATTTTAAATACTTAAACACGAACCTAGGGGTGGGCTATCCCTTGCAAAGAGCTCAAAGTCTCGTTGTGGCGTTCTGAACACAGACTGGAATATAATCTGCTTTTCTTCTTTTCTCTACTGAGGAGATCTATGAAAGCTAAGTAACTGTTGACTACGAGGACGAGTGGGCTCAGTTTTTATGATTAACAAGTTGTTGTTCTCCTTTGGTGTCATTGTTGTGGGGGCTGATATCAGGGGGTGATTCTGTGGAGGAAACGCTACAACGCGAGGGCCACCCTTTCGAGATAAAAGCATATGGTTTACGGAAAGAGAGACCAAAAAAGAGAAATGTGGATTTGTGATTTCCCCCCCCCCTTCCATCTCTTTCCACGCTTGTTTATGAGACCCAGGGTATACTCGAGCATTAAGAAGGAGGTGCCCTCCTATGAGGAACCAGGAGCCTGCAGGTTTTTGCGTTACTGTGGCCTTGTTTTTTTTTATTAATATTTTATTTTTTAAGGAACCTTAAGAGATATGTGGACCTCAGAGTCGGGATCAAAATATTTTCTAAGAGTCAGTGGATAAAGTGATCTGCGATCCGCGTTGCCCTGTCTAGGAAAGGCAAGATGGCAGACGGTTTCATTTCTTTCCCCTTCCATATGCGTTTTCTGATTAGAAATTTTCCCCGAAAAAAGAGAGTTTCCAGACCTCTTCCACTGGGACGGTGCTGGAACTCCTCTTTCCTTCTAGTTTGTAAAGCATCCTGCTTCTTCGAGAACTTCTTGCAGAAAAGAGAATATTCGGTGATCCTTCCACTTCAGGGGCTCCGCGCTTAGACTAGCCAAGGCGTATAAACATGGCCTTCCAAAGGCATTTTGCAGAGGAACAGGCAGACTTGGCTTTAGGCTTGGTGCCTCTTCTCGTTTGTTTACATTAGCGAGGAAAGAAAGAAAGAAAGAAAGAAAGAAAGAAAGAAAGAAAGAAAGAAAGAAAGAAAGAAAGAAAGAAAGAAAGAAAGAAAGAATCCCGCTAATGATAAAATAAGAGTGGAATTGGACTCAAGGTTGAGATCTTATGGACTAGCAGCTATTTCTGGTACCTTCCGAGGATGAACCGGCAGGCACGCCCAGCTTCCATGCTTGAAACGTTTTAATAAGCAAAAAAGTAACCCACACCAGAACAGAGAATCGCTCTTTCCGCTTTGTTACTGTAAATTAGCATTTCCAAACAGATAAATGGCTGATCATAGGTAGCGTAATTATTCGCAATAGTCCTGTGGTAATTGATTGATTCCCACGATTCATTATTTATACAAAACTTTCCTCTTTTCTGGATTAGCCACGCTCAGATCAACCCCCACCCCCCTTTTTATTTTATTCCATAAACAGCATGGAAGAAGGACAGGGGGGAAGAGATCTATCATGCATTTATGAAGTTTAATTTCAATCTCTCTCTCTCTTTCTTTCACTCACTCATGCGCCCACCTACCTACAGAGGGGAAGCCTAACGTAATATATGTTTAATCGACCCAAGTCAAGAAATGTAATAAAAGTTAAATCCCCCCTACTGTGTTTCTCTCTGTTTAAACGATTCTATTAGATCAGGATGAAAGCGGAGGATTTACAGACTTAAAACGTTATTGCCGCGTGTTGCTTTATCTCTTATGTGAGAACATGTGTAATTATAAGGATCTCGTGCTGTTTCCTGTGCATTTCCCTCCCGGATCATATCTATCTATCTATCTATCTATCTATCTATCTATCTATCTATCTATCTATCTATCTATCTATCTATCTATCTATCTATCTATTTTGCTAAATGTGTCTGTCCTTTCTGGGGCTGTTTGTCTGGGGTATAAAATGCCAGCAGCCGTCCAGGGTTCCTTCATTTTTCTTGTCGATGTTGCTGTTAATTCTGCATTTCTCAGCAGGTGTAACCTCAGAAGGCGGCTGCCTTTTGAGTTTGTGTGGATCTATTGGTGCGGCCTTCTGTATACTTTTTCTTTTCTTTTAATCCCAGTCTTGTTTCGAAGAGTTTGTGGGAGACCTAGTGATACACCTCTGTCTAGATCTATAATGGAAATAGGCTTATACAACCACGTATTTTGTGCTGGGTTGTACATGTGCGAGTTTTCCTATGTGTTAGCCTGTTCTCTCCTCTTTTCCTCTCTGGGTAGGTGGATGGACAGATGATAGATAGATAGATAGATAGATGATAGATAGATAGATAGATAGATAGATAGATAGTAGATAGATAGATGATAGATAGATAGATAGATAGATGATAGATAGATAGAGAGTGTCTCCAGTTTGGGGTATTGCCCTTCGCATTTTATTCTATCGTGGTTTCGATTTGGCGTCTGAGAACCTTTCATTGTATGTCTGTCT